ATTCAGAACTGCAGTCGGCAGGGTTTGCAGGCCATCTCGCGTGCCCAGCCCCGTGCTGCAGCAGCGGCAGAGAGAAAAGGCTCTCGGAGAGAGACGGGGCTCTGGCTGTGCGTGACATCACGCGGCAAGAGACCTGGGATCCCATCCCAGCCTTGTCCCCATCTCGTTGAGTGAACGTGAGCGAGACCCTTCCCCCCTCTGGGCCTCAGTCTTCCCGTCTGAGAAATGAAAGGGCTGGGTGGAGAGCTCACGGCAGACGATGGTGGCCAGACGGCTCCTAGTGGCTCTGGTCCCATGATTCAGCCCCAGGATGCTGGGGTGAGGCCGTGTTGCTGGGCAACAGTGTTTGTTTGTGGTTCTGATGTGTAGCTGGGACAGCTGTGAGTGCTCTTGGCTCTGGCTCCAGCTTTCCAGCTCCGGGGGCAGCGGGCCAGGGTCCCCCACCGGGCCGATCCAGACGCATCTGGGGGAGGAGGGGGGCAAGCCGGCGGGGAGGGGACAGTGAGTGGATGGAGCATCCCCGGGATGCTGTGGGACGGTTGGCGCGCCCACCCCCCTCTCTGGGCCCACTTGGCCCCGAATGGAGAAGCGGGCTGCCAGCGGGGTTCTGGCGCTCCTGGAGAAAAGCTGCCTCCTCACCGGAAGCCGGTGGCGTGGTGGCGATGCCCCGGTGCCCTCCTGTGGGGTCTTTACCTTGGTGGATCCTCACCGTTTGTGCCGCTCCCTGGCCTGGCAAGGGGTCTTATTAGCTTATGGCCAGCAGCTCTCATTCTGGAGAACAGTCAGGGGAAGTAAGTTTCAGAACCGAACATTCTAGAGCACCGTGGCGGCTGGCAGCGCAGGTGCAGCGTCCAAAGTCAAGTCCGCGTTCTGCCCGAAACGGGGGCAGCAGGATGGGCACCACGGGACCCGGCCAGAGGGGCTGAGTGTAGACAAGCCACCCGGACTCTAAGCAGCCTGGAGATGAGAGTATTTTCTCTGCCCCTGCGGCAGCCGGTGCACCCTGAACCCCATGGCTCTTTGTCAAATGAATGAATGAATGAATGAATGAATGAGCGAGCAGCTGGCTGAGCTGGGCTCCATGCAACTCAGAGCAGAGCAAGGGTCAGGGAGGGCTTCCTGGAGGGGCTGGAGCGTGTGCTGCCTTGAAGGGGGTCTGGAGGGCAGGAGGGTGTGCCCTTGAGACCAGGTTGGGGGGACACAGTGTGAGCAGAGGTGGGAAAGGGCGCGCACCCGTGTGTGTGTGTGTATGTGTGTGTGTGTGTGTGTGTGTGTGTGTGTACATCTGGGATTTGCCATCACATTTTTATCGAGCACCTACTGTGGGCCAGGGGCTGTGTTAAGGGCTGGGGACAGGGCAGGAACCCGGCCCCTCCCCTTCTAGAAGCGTCAACCTTGACAGGTGATCACAGGTGTGATGGCTGCCGTAATGGCTCCAGGATCTGGTCACCGGAGGCAGGCATCTCCCGGGGCGGGAGGGGAGGCTTCCCTGAACCACAGAGAGCGAGGGGGAGCTGGAGAGGTCAGCTGAGTGAGGCTGCAGCCAAGGTGCCTGCTGGGAATGAGGCTGGTGGTGTAGCCCAGGTACCCGCTTGATTCGGAGCACTTTCTGTCGGGTGCCCTTTGGTCTCTCTGTGCAGGTAGGTGCCCCCTTGAGCTCTGAGAACCGGAGGGACCCGGCAGGGTAGGTGGGCCCCTCTCAGATCCGACCCCCCATCTCCGTGCCTGTGTGAACCTCGCAGCTGCAGCCATCTGTGAAGGCTCGAGCTGGATGCGTGTCATAAACAGGAAATTCCCGGGGCGCCTGGGTGGCTCAGTCGGTTAAGCGTCCGACTTCGGCTCAGGTCACGATCTCGCGGTCTGTGAGTTCGAGCCCCGCGTCGAGCTCTGGGCTGACAGCTCAGAGCCCGGAGCCTGTTTCGGGTTCTGTGTCTCCCTCTCTCTCTGACCCTCTCCTGCTCGTGCTCTGTCTCTCTGTCTCTCAAAAATAAATAAATGTTAAAAAAAAAAATTAAAAAAACAAAACAGGAAATTCCCTGGTTCTCATCTCAGTGCCTCGGGCAGCCGTCTGGCTGTTCCGGCCACGGCCACACTGGAGGGGCCGCCACTGATCACGCCACGTGCACGCAGCGGCAGTGTTCGCCCCGCCTCCTCCCACCTCTCCCCGGCCCCCACCCCCAGGCTGCAGCCCCCAGACCTGCAGAGCGCCTGAGGAAGGGGAGGGAGAGCTGGGTCCCAAGCCAGTGTGGTGGAGAGGGCTGCGACAGGGAGGGGAAAGGACCTACCAGACTTGGGGCATCGAGGCAGGAGCCTTCCTGGAGGAGGTGATGTCTAAGTACTGAAGGTTGAGCAGGTATAACCTGGGTGAACAGGAGGTGGAGGGGTGCCCCAGGTAGGAAGAGCGGCAAGGGCAAAAGGATGACAGTGAGACGAAGCCGGTCCTTCGAGGAGGAGCGGTGGTCCGTCAGGGGTTGGGGCGGGGGACTGGTCCGTGTAGACCCACACAGGCCAGGAGGCTATGCTTGGATTTTGCAGGGCAACCGCAGAGGGCTTGAGGGAAAGCAGTGATATGGCCATCCTGTCAGTGACAGCAGACACAGGCTCCACGGGGCAGGTAATGGGGTCCTTTGGCCTCTGCTAGGCCTCAGCTTGTCCATCTGTAAAATGGATTCTCCCTTCATTCCGTTTTTCCTTTGTGGTAAACTAACAGCGTTCCCTTTCTGAGAAATGACCTGGGGCCGGTCATAGGAAAGACAAGATGCCTACTTTCATCGGGGGGAGTTTTCCCCTTCTGGAAATTTCTTTCATTATGATGATTACTAATTATTTGAAGCTTATTCATTTGGAGACAGAGAATGGGTACACGCAAGTGGGGGAGGAGCAGAGGGAGAGAAAGAGAGAGCATCCCAAGCAGGCTCCAAGCTGTCAGCGCAGAGCCCGACGCGGGGCTCGAGCTCACGAACCCCGAGATCGTGCCCTGAGCCGAAATCGAGAGTCGGACGCTTCATTGACTGAGCCACCCAGGCGGCCCTTATTATTTTTCTCCCAGAAGCTCCCAGTTCCTATCCTTTAAAGGTCTTGTTGAGGGAGAGAGAGCGAGCGAGGCGTTCTGTGGTCTCTGAAGTTTTCAAAACCAGAAGCCAGCTTCTGAATAAAAGAATCCGGAGCTGCCTCTTCAAATGGGAAGCAATTGGGGTTCAGAGACATTGACTGCCTGCCTCAGGTTGCACAGCACGTCTGTAGCAGAAGCAGATGTTGGATCCCGATCTCCGGTTCCCAGCCCGCACCTCTTGCCGTTGACCCACGCCGTCCCCATGTTCTCCGCTGAGTTTGCAGTGAGGTCCTGGGAGGGAGGGAACCGTGTAGATGGAGTATATATATATATATATATACGTTCCAGCCTCAAACTGATCTGGCCCTTGGTTGGTGGATGTCAATATCATTTAATTAAAAAGTATATAAAAACCTGTGGATGAGAAAAGTCAGGGAAGCGATGCCACACGGGGGAGACGTGTACCCGTCGCTGGGACGAATCAGGATCTGCGCGGTGTTTTTCCTCCTCTTTGAGAGATCAAGTGACCAGCTCAGGGCAGCCCCGCTGATCGGAGACTCGCAAGGAGAGCCCGGACACTAGCGGGCGTGCTAACAGCAGGGCTGTTTACTGAGCACTTACTACGTCCCAGGCACGTGAGCTTGGCATGCGCCGTGTCACTTCATGCTTGCCACCTCCTGTGACTCCAGATGAGGACCCCGAGTCCCCTGGAGGTGGAGTCCTTGGCCCACGGTGGCAGACGGTAGTTCACGCGGGGCCACTCAAAGCCCTGCTCCCGTCTGCTCTTTCGTGATGCTTCTCAGGGTGGGGACACTTCCTCGTGTCCCTGGGCAGTGTGCCCAAGGGCTGGTCCCCTGACCCGTGTCAGAGCCACCTAGGACCTTGGTAAAACCCCAGTTCCTGCCCCCCGCCATCAGAGCCCCAGGTGGGGCTGGGAATCTGCGTGTTTCACACGAAGCCTGGAGATTCTGATGAGAAGCCCTGCCCTGCAAGGTGTGAGTGAGGCGTCTGTGCCCAGGACGGCTGATGGTGTGTGAGCCCTGGCCCAGGACTCCTGGTCCTGTTCAGGCAGGACCCATAGAGCAGTGTGCAGAAAGGTCTGGCGGTGGAAGGAAAGAAGGAAGGAAAGAAAGGGAGGGAGGGAGGAGAGGAGAGGAGAGAAAAAGAAAGAATATCTAAATATTTAAATGTCCTCCACAGGGGAACAGATTCATGAATTGTGGTACCGGCACATGAGGGACTACTATGCAGTGGTGAAAAATGAACGAATTAGATCTACACACATACACGTGAAGCCATTCATATGAATGTTTTTATTTTATTTATTTTCTTTTACTTTTTAAAAGTGTATTTGTTTTTGAGAGAGAAACAGAACGAGGTGGGGAGGGGCTGAGAGAGAGGGAGAGAGAGACTCCCAAGCAGGCTCTGCCCTGTCAGCATGGAGTCCAGAGCCCGATGTGGGGCTCAAAGTCAGGAACTGTGAGATCATGATTGGAGCCGAGACGGAGAGTCGGACACTAGCTGACTGAGCCCCCCAGGCGCCCCCGTATGATATTGTCTCCAGTTTCCAGAATGAGACAAGTGAGGCACAGAGAGGTTAAATGACCAGGCCAACCTCACACAGCAAGCATGTGGCCCAACAGGGTTGGATCCCAGTGGTCCAGCCTGGTGCCGGGGCTCTGAGGCCATCACCCGGTGTCACTAACTGTCCTCAGAGAGCTTGGCACCAAGTGCCTGCTGGATGCTTTGGAGGAGGGGGTACTGGGCAGGGGGATTATTACCCCATCTTACAGATGGGAAGACAGAGGCCCAGCAGGGCAAAAGTAGTAGCCCGAGGTCGCACAGGCAGCCCACTGCCAGCAGTGAGGACCCATCTGAGAAGCACATGCCCAGCACTTTGCTTGCAGCTGCCTGGGAGATGGGGACCATTGTCACTTCCATTTTGCAGAGGAGGAAACCGACACTCAGCAGAAAGGGGAGTGGGGACCCCAGCACTATTGGACTCCAGAGCCCAGCTGTTACACTAGGAGCACAGGCTGGCGGCTGGCCTTTGGGGTCCCCCACCCCCGTGCTGGCCGCTTGCAGTTGGGGCCAGCTGGGGCCAGTGGCCGCAGCTGCCCTCCTCGATTTATGGGGACAGGGGCTTCACGGAGCCAGCACATATGGGCCGGTGACATCATGTCTGCTGGGGCCCCTTGGGGTCCGGCCCAGCTGCAGGAGCCTGGCTGGGGGTCCCAGATCCCTCTGGGAGGGGGGCCAGGTGGCTTTAGCAAGGTGGGCCAGATTGGGGACGGCAATGACGAGGGGCCTGCACAGCTTCCTCCCGAGGGCCCGGCGCAGGGCTGGACGACAGAATACCAGAAGGCACTAGATTCGGAGTCTGGCCGGCCCTGGCACTTAGCCTCAGAGGGCCTCTGGGCTGGCAGCTTCTCCTCGGAAGCCGTGGGGAGGGTGTATGACCGGCCGCGTCCCCCGCCTTGGGGCAGGGCGTGCAGAAGAGAGGGAGTTAATTGGTGACCATGCGCCTGGCCCCGGGCTGAGCCCACATGGAATCTGGCCATCTGCTGGGGGAGGCGGGTGCTCCAGCGGAGTCTTGAGGTCTTTCCGGCGGGGCTGGGATTGGTTGGGGTCTCACCAGTGCCCCTCACTCCTGCAGGCATCGCCTCCTGCCGTCAGGCTCCCTGCGTGTGGCCCAGGCCCAGGTCGGTGACAGTGGCCTCTACAGATGCACAGCCAGCAACCCTGCTGGGTCCGTTTCTCAGCACTACATGCTCCGGGTGCAAGGTAGGGCCGGGGCTGCCGGCCGGGGTCTCGCCCACGGCCCCTCCCTTCCGTCCATCTTTCTTAGGACTTCTCAGTGTCCTTCCCTGTTTGCAGGCTAGGCCCTGTCGCCTCCTCGTGGGGCCCTCCGGTGCTTCCTCCCCTCCCCTCTGGGTCCTCCAGCCCTGTATCTCCTCAGTCCCTTTCTCCCTTCCCCTGTACCCTCGGATGGGGCCCCCTGAGAACAGAGGGCAGGGCCCAGGGTGGGCCTAGGGTGGTAAGGGTCAGAGGGGAACCCATGAAGGGGTTCTGGTTCCCGACTTGGCTGGGGCCCCAGGGGTGGACATTCCCCTGGATGTCTCGGTCCCGTCCACAGAGGCCAGCTGTGCTGTCGCTCCCCCAGAGAGGCAGGGGCCTTGTTAGCTTCAAAAGCGCCAGGGGATTACCAACGCTAGGGGCCAACCGACTGTGGCCCGCAGGCCATGTCTGACCCATTTCCTGTTTTCACGTGGCCCACCGGTGAAGAACGGTATCCGCTTTTTTAAACGATTGGGGAAAAAACCCAAACAACATTTTTTGTGATGCGTGAAAATTACAGGAGATTCCGATTTCAGTGTCCGCAAAACCAGCCTTCTTAGAACCTGAGACTCGTGTCCGTGTGGTCTCTGGCTTCTCTCAAGCCACAGGGGCGAGTTGAGTAGTTGAGAGAGAGGCCATCTGGCCCGCAAAGCCTGAAATATTTACTCTCTTGCCCTTTATGGAAAAAGAGACCCCGATCTAAGCTAGCAGCCCATCTTACAGGTGGATAGGCTGAGGCTCAGAGAGGGAAGGGGGGAAAGGTTTGCTGTGGGTTTGCGTGAGCGTATGAGAGATACGGCAGTGGCAGGGCGCCGGGGGGAGGGAGGCGGCTGGGTGGTGAGCAAGGCCCCAGAGTTAGGAGGACTGGATGTGAGTCCTGACTCTGCTACCGCTGACGGGCTGTGTGACCTTGGCCAGCCGCTTGGCCTCTCTGAGCCTTGGCTTCCTCCTCCATAAACCGGGGGCCACAGTCACGCCCATCCCATAGCTGTTAGAAGGGGGAGCGTCACAGTGGAACCTGCTGTGTGTGAGGGGCGGGCAAGGCACAGGCACCCTCGTGCTCCTGGACACCGAGGTCCTGGGGTGGCCCAGGGGAGCGGCCTGGATTCCCGCTCAGACAGACTCAGGGCTGGGGCTGGCTCCGGTTCCTCTCAGCTGAGGGACTGGGTGACTCTGGTCAATCGCCTGACCCTTCTGAGCCTCAGCTTCTTCATCTGCGAAATGGGCTTGGTATCACCAGCCCGGAGGAAGGACCGGAGTGGGACAGAGGAGATGTAAACGTGGAAGGAATGATGGCCCCCCCCCCCAGCCCAGGGAAGGGAGGGAGCAGGAGTAGGGGGATGGCGGGGAGAGCGGGTGAGGAGAAAGAAGCTGAGAGAA